GGCATCACTGATGGGCACTGAAAGGCAGCACAAATATGTGGCACTGATAGGCAGCACTGATGGCCACTGATAGGCAGCACTGACTGGCACCATTTAGTATTGATAGGTGGCACTGATTGGCACTGATACGCAGCAGTGATGGGCGCTGAGATGCAGAACTGACTGGCACTGATAGAGGGCACTGATTGGCACTGACTGGCACTGATAGGCAGCACTGACTGGCACTGATAGTTTGCATTGATTGGTATTGATATCTGGCATTGATGGACACTGTAAGGCAGCACTGATAATCAGTGTAGATATCCTCTCTGAGAAATGCTGCTTACTGGCTCCCCTCTTCTCACGCGCACGTCAGTATGAGGAGAGGAATGCCGATAACCAGCATTTCCTCTTTACATGTGATGAGCTGTGATTGGACACCACTGATCACGTGGTAGATACGATCTCATCGGCTCTTTACCGCGATCAGTGATCCACTGTGTGCCAGGGACACAGCGCACCACCGATCACCACGCCTCCTATAACGTCCTCCCAGAACAAGAGAGCTCCCGTCCGTCTGTTCCTTCCATATCCCCAGTGAAGTGACCGGCCTCAAGTGATACACAGAGATAAAGCAAATCCTCCTACATAAGTTGTACCTGTTTATTTACAGTCCCCTCTCCTCTACAGCCTCCTAAAGCTCACATTTTGCACAGCATTTCTGAGCTCCAGGAGGCAGGGCATGGGGATCTGACATCACACACACTGCACATCATAAAAGAGCTGGGTGTATTCTGAGACCTGAGTGGAGGGAATAGACATACCCTTCTATACAGAGTCTCAAAGGGAAACATGCACAGCTGAGGCCTGATGTATACTGATGTTGGTGAGGGCATCTCCTGGGATTGCTTGGTGTCGGCACAGACTGCCAGAAGTGATTCATGCATTATTATTATTATTATTATTATAATACAGGATTTTATTATTATTATTATACAGGATTTATTATTTATTATTATTATTATTATTTATTATTATTATACAGGATTTATTTATTATTATTATTATTATTATTATTAGTATTATACAGGATTTATTATTATTATTATTATTATTATTATTATTTTATTATTATTATTATTATTATCATTTATTATTATTATTAATATTATTATTATTCAGGATTTATTATTATTATTGTTATTATTATTATTATACATGGAGTTATTATTATTAGTATTTATACAGGATTTATTATTATTATTATTATTATTATACATCATTTTTTTTATTATTATTATTATTATTATTATTATTTATTATTATTAATATTATTACATTTGATTTATTATTATTATTATTAGTATTATACAGGATTATTATTATTATTGTTTATTATTATTATTATTATACATCATTTTTTTTTATTATTATTATTATATTTATTATCATTATACAGGTATTTATTATTATTATTATTATTATACATCATTTATTTATTATTATTAATATTATTATTCAGGATTTATTATTATTGTTATTATTATTATTATACAGGAGTTATTATTATTAGTATTATACAGGATTTTATTATTATTATTATTATTATTATTATTATTATTATACAGGATTTATTATTATTATTATTATTATTATTATACATCATTTTTTTATTATTATTATTATTATTTAGATTTTTTATTTTTATTATTATTATTTATTATTATTATTATTTATACATGATTTATTATTATTATTATTATATTATTATTATACAGGATTTATTATTATTATTATTATTATTATTATTATTATTATTATTATTATTAACACAGGATTTATTATTATTGTTATTATTATTATTATTATTATACATGAATTTTTTTATTATTATTATATTATTATTATTATTATTATTCATTATACAGGATTTATTATTATTATTATTATTATTATTATATTACACAGGATTTAATTATTATTATTATTATTATTATTATTTATTATAACACAGGATTTATTATTATTGATTTATTATTATTATTATTATTATTATTATAACACAGGATTTTATTATTATTATTATTATTCTTATAATACAGGATTTTTTTATTATTATTATTATTATTATTATTATTATTATTATTACAGGATTTATTATTATTATTATTACTATTATTATTTTTATACAGGATTTATTATTATTATTATACATACAGGAACATGATACACAGGATTATTTTTTTTATTATTATATTATTATACAGGATTTATGGCGCCAACAGTTTGCTCAGTGCTTTACAATATAACGGGAGACAATACAGCAACAATACATTTCAATACAAGAGGGATAGGAGGGCCCTGATCCTGGGAGCTTACAATCTAGGGGATAGCAGAAGAATGAGAGAGCAGGCAGAAATCGCACTGAACACTTTGGATCAAGCCAAGTACACACATAGAAGGATGTGCTTTGTTCATTTTTCATTTCAGAGATTGCTCAGTCTGAATGTAGTGTGTTTGGCCAACCCAACAATCACAACCTCTCCAACATGGCCGCTCAACAGCTGTGCTATATAGGAGGGTGGTGGTTACAGCTTGTAGACGCATAAACTCAGGTATTGATCATCCTCCTGTTCCTGAACCCACACCCGAAATCTGTCAAAGAAACATACTCAGAGGCACTCTAATGCCCCGTACACACGATGAGAATATCGGACGTATGATCAGCCGTTTTTTTTTTTTTTCGCCTGCTAGTCTCACATCGAAAGTGAAAAGGTTACTAAAGATCCAAAAATTCTCCTATGAAAGGAAAGAATTACAAAAGTGATGTCATGTTTTGCTTTGTATTTGTATTGTATTTTCAGACGACTACTGTGCTGATTGGACCAAGGGACGTATTTGTCCCATGTTTTTTAATTGCCTGTATCATCTGATTAAGAACTTAAATACTTTTTTTTTTTTTTTGGTTTGAGTCAAAATATTAGTTCTTATCAACAAACGGATCGAGCTTTTTGCCAATTATTTCACGAAATGGCTTAATTACAGCAACTGAAGTGTACGAACTTTAAAAACAAAAAATTGATTCTTTTGGCGTTCCGTAATCTTATGGTCCTCAAAGGGTTAAACGAAAATCGTACGATCCGGTATCGTCCGAGAAAAAATTTTTGCGCCTTTGGATATTGTCATACGAATTGTCGTAATCGGCTCTCAAAAGCTGTGTACTAACGATCCGATTATCGGACGATCGGTCCTCGTACGACGAAAATTTTCGTACGATTTTCCTATAGTGCGTACCAGGCATAAAAGGCCGCTGAATCTGGTTACAACGAACTACAAAAAAAAAAAAAAAAAATCAGTTTTGGGTGGAACAGCCCTTTTGCTACAATTAGTTTAAATATTAACCGCGCTCTAATGTCCACCAAAAAGTGTAAATCAAAAAGTGCTAAGTGCTTATAACTAAATAGAAACGAGTTGTGTAGCGAGCGCTTACTGTAATGATAATTTGGTACAAGCCGCTAGAACACCAAAAAGGTAACCAACATAACCTTCCAAGATAATATATAGACAAAAAGGTGCAGTGCTAATAATGAAAAGGTGAAATGTCAACATACACTCAATGACAAGAGTAGAAAGATGAGGACGTTAGATCATATATTCATCACAAAAATAAATTCGATGTTCAATATAGTGTCCCCAAACATATAAAAGGATGTGATGTGCCAATTCTGCCAGGTCTCCTTTATAAATCAGAGTGAATGATCCAAACGTGAGCAGGTAATAAATTAAATGCGCACTCACCAGAAGTGCGTTTAAATACGCATGAAAGAAGTTTCCTTTCTCATCAGGTGCATCTAAGTTCTCCACACTCAGGTAAAGCTGTGCTTCCTGGTCCTCACTGGTCATCCATCCTGGTCAGGTTCCCTGGTTCATCAGACACTCATACACCTCTGGAGTCCCTCCTTAAACTTGTGACCGACAATCACAGGACCCTCTGGGTCTCCATCCTGAACACACGGCCACCATAGGACCAGCATGGGATCTTCTCCATGTTAGAGCACACGGTACCAAGTTCCCAGGTTCCCTGGTTCATCAGACACTCATACATCTCTGGAGTCCCTCCTTAAACTTGGTACCGTGTGCTCTAACATGGAGAAGATCCCATGCTGGTCCTATGGTGGCCGTGTGTTCAGGATGGAGACCCAGAGGGTCCTGTGATTGTCGGTCACAAGTTTAAGGAGGGACTCCAGAGGTGTATGAGTGTCTGATGAACCAGGGAACCTGACCAGGATGGATGACCAGTGAGGACCAGGAAGCACAGCTTTACCTGAGTGTGGAGAACTTAGATGCACCTGATGAGAAAGGAAACTTCTTTCATGCGTATTTAAACGCACTTCTGGTGAGTGCGCATTTAATTTATTACCTGCTCACGTTTGGATCATTCACTTTCTAATTTATAAAGGAGACCTGGCAGAATTGGCACATCACATCCTTTTATATGTTTGGGGACACTATATTGAACATCGAATTTATTTTTGTGATGAATATATGATCTAATGTCCTCCTCTTTCTACTCTTGTCATTGAGTGTATGTTGACATTATAAATAAATAAAATATGAGAATAAATGATGTAACGTGATTAATTATATAAGATTATGACTTGTGAAAAATACATTAATATTAAACGTAACTAATTATATAAAATTATAACTAGTGGAAAATAAATTCGTATCGTATTATCACGTCACTAAATGTGCAATCCTTATACACAATGCGCAAATCTTCCATCAGTGAAAAAAATTCATCGTATGATTTGATAAGTGAAATTAAAAAATAATAAATAAAAAAATAATAAATATTATAAAATATAAGAAATATAAAAAAATAATAAAAAGTCTCTGAAAAAACAACAATAATATCCCAATGTGCAAAGTGAATGTCCAGCTTGGATGGATATACTCTCCTTCAATATGAAGATATGGTCTTTGCTGTAATGTTGAGAGCAGGGGCGGACTGACAACTCATGGGGCCCCCGGGCAATAGGGGATCATAGGGCCCCTGTGTCCTTGCCCAAACTCAAAAAAGACTATGAAAAAGGTTACCAGGGGCATCTCATGGGCCCCCTACTGACCCCCCCCGGGCAATAGGGGATCATGGGGCCCCTGTGTCCTTGCCCAAACTCAAAAAAGCCTATGAAAAAGTTACCAGGGGCATCTCATGGGGCCCCCTACTGACCCCGGGCCCTCGGGCAGTGCCTGGGTTTCCAAATGGTCAGTCCCCCCCTGGTTGAGAGCCTGTGTGGCTGCAGGACTATGAGGGATACTCCCTCCTTTGATCCACTCCTTAGTCCTCTGCCTTTGTATTCCTCGTATGTTACATGTAAGAAAAGGAATAAAAGATATGCTTTCTTATCCCGGGGTAAAACAGCTTTTATTGTGCTTCTATATTGCACTCACATTTTAAAAATATCATCAGCGCTTTGTATATATACAATATCCCACTGCTTGCAGCTAGATCAAAGAGACGATGTGTGTCCACACACCCTCAGTACTCGGCGTATCGTTGTTAGATTGCGCGATGACGTCACTGCCCCTCCCCAACGCGTTGCGCTACAGGGATTTCGTAGCTTCGTCCAGGGGATGATGTGTGACTGTCACCATAGTGAAATTCCTTATATAGAAGAGATACGGCGCCATTTTGCTGAATACCTACTGGGCGCAGCCATGTTTTTGGGGTCTATTAGTGTCCCCGAAATACATAAATATTTAATAATTGATACATACAATGACTATCGCTCATACTGATGCTGTGTGCGACCCACCCGATTGATGTTACAAAACATTAAGATACACTTTAATTACAATGTTAAAAAATGAGTTGTAAATATACCAATACTCATAATGATTTATATATTTGTACTAACGATCCGATTATCGGACGATCGGTCCGCCTACGAAAATTTTCGTCCGATTTTCCTATAGTGTGTACGAGGCATAAAAGGCTTGCTGAATCTGGTTACAAGGAACTACACAAAAAAAATCAGTTTTGGGTGGAACAGCCCTTTTGCTACAGTTGTGCCTGCAAATATCACTTTTTCCCGAGGCTGGTGCATTCCATGCTCTGTAAACCTGTGCAGTAAATGCGCGATGACGTCACTGCCCCTCCCCAATGCGTTGCACTACAGGGATTTCGTAGCTTCGTCCGGGCGGATGATGTGTGACTGTCACCATAGTGAAATTCCTTATATAGAAGAGATACGGCGCCATTTTGCTGAATACCTACTGGGCGCAGCCATGTTTTTGGGGTCTATTTCTGCCCCGGAATACATAAATATTTAATAATTGATACATACAATGACTATCGCTACTAACTACGGCTCATACTGATGCTGTGTGCGACCCACCCGATTGATGTTACAAAACATTAAGATACACTTTAACCCCTTTGCGCCAGCCGCACACAAATGTGCGGCCTCCCGGCGTCTGGGCCTAGACGCCGAGCGTTGCCGCACATTTGCGTCCATGTAACTAAATACATATGTGCTGAGAGCGCGCGCGCTCTGCGCGCTCCCAGCACACATGTGTGGTACTCACGGAAAGGTCCCGGTCCGCTCTTTCGATCGGGACCTTTCCCGATCATGTGACCGCCGTGACGCGTCATCGCGGCGCTCACATGATTCCTAAACCACGCCCCAACCGCCCCGCCTCCCGGCATTTGAATCTCTTAAAGGGCCGGGAGGCGTCGGCGGGAAGGGGTTAATTACAATATTAAAAAATGAGTTGTAAATATACCAATACTCATAATGATTTATATATTTGTACTAACGATCCGATTATCGGACGATCGGTCCGCGTACGAAAATTTTCGTCCGATTTTCCTATAGTGTGTACGAGGCATAAAAGGCTTGCTGAATCTGGTTACAAGGAACTACACAAAAAAAATCAGTTTTGGGTGGAACAGCCCTTTTGCTACAGTTGTGCCTGCAAATATCACTTTTTCCCGAGGCTGGTGCATTCCATGCTCTGTAAACCTGTGCAGTAAATGCGCGATGACGTCACTGCCACTCCCCAACGCGTTGCATCTACAGGATTTCGTAGCTTCGTCCGGGTGGATGATGCGTGACTGTTACCATAGTGAAATTCTTAATAGAGAGAGATACGGCGCCATTTTGCTGAATACCTATTGGGGCGCAGCCATGTTTTTGGGGTCTGCCCCCGGAACTTTCTGCCCCGTAATACATAAATATTTAATAACTGATACATACAATGACTATCGCTACTAACTACGGCTCATACTGATGCTGTGTGCGACCCACCCGATTGATGTTACAAAACATTAAGATACACTTTAAACCCCCTTTGCCGCGGCCGCACACAAATGTGCGGCCTCTCGGCGTCTGGGCCTAGACGCCGAGCGGCCGCACATTTGCGTCCATTTAACTAAATACATATTTGCTGAGAGCGCGCGCTCTGCGCGCTCCCAGCACACATGTGTGGTACTCACGGAAAGGTCCCGGTCCGCTCTTTCGATCGAACGGGACCTTTCCCCGATCATGTGACCGCCGTGACGCGTCATCGCGGCGCTCACATGATCCTAAACCACGCCCCAACCGTCCCGCCCTCCCGGCATTTGAATCTCTTAAAGGGCCGGGAGGCGTCGGCGGGAAGGGGTTAATTACAAATATTAAAAAATGAGTTGTAAATATACCAATACTCATAATGATTTATATATTTGTACTAACGATCCGATTATCGGACGATCGGTCCGCGTACGAAAATTTTCGTACGATTTTCCTATAGTGTGTACGAGGCATAAAAGGCCGCTGAATCTGGTTACAATGAACTACAAAAAAAAAAATCAGTTTTGGGGCGGAACATCCCTTTTGCTACGGTTGTGCCTGCAAATATCACTTTTTCCCGAGGCCGGTGCATTCCATGATCCGTAAACCTGTGCAGTAAATGCGTTACGATATATCAGATAAAAAAAAACAATAAAGCGGGAAGGTGTTGTGTGTAGCGCACGACCCCCCCCCCCCCCCCAGTGATATCTCAGTGCCCCCCTCAAGCCCCCCGCTGTAATTATTTAACCCGAGCCCCGCTGTTTAGCGCTCCCGCTCAATCCGCTTCTCCAAGGCAGAGAGAGAGAGCGGCCCATTACGAGGGCGGCACGCGGCGTAATATGCCTGCCACGCTTTTATAGACGGCCGATACAAATGGATTAACGAGTTAAAGATCTCTCAAAATGTAATTAATTTGATTATGCATAAATAAACTCCGGCTCGGAATGGAATGAGCCGGGATGTTTTAATCAAAGGCTCGCAGATGAATCGCCGGCCCGGTAATGCTCACGAGCTGGACACAATAATCGTAATTTATGATGCATTTTGCCACATAGTCAATTTGGCTTTAATTTCCCTCCTCCGCCGCGGCTTTATTGCGTGTATCTCTAATGGAAATCGGAGTAGATGAGGCAATTTCAGCCGGTGGCGGCGTTAATAGGGGAAAAGGTTATTCCGCCCTCCGCTCGTGAGAAGACGGGACCTGTCTAGGGCGGCGGCGGAGGATTACCACAGACATCTGTTTCTCTTGAGTTTAAGTGTTTTGCAATTTAGGCTCAATTTTCATCGTTTTTCCAGCGTGGCGCAGAGTCAGGTGAGGGGCACGGGGAGATTTACAAAGATGGCAGAAAAAATGAAGATTTCCATGTGTTGGGCCAATGACTGGATTACCGATGCTGTGACGGCAATGATATCTGACAGCTGAACTCAATGGACCCATTTTTTTTTTTTTAACCTTTGGTCAAAATTAGTGGAAACCCAACCATCTTTGCTACCTATCAGGGGCGGACTGACAACTCATGGGGCCCCCGGGCAATAGGGGATCATGGGGCCCATGTGTCCTCACCCACACCCAAAAAAGCAAATGAAAGGTACCAGGGGCATCTTATGGGGCCCCCTACTGACCCCAGGCCCTCGGGAAGTGCCCGAGTGCTCAAATGGTCAGTCTGCCCCTGCTACCTATGGTATATGGCTAAAATTATGTGGACGCTCCTGAGGTGTTCCCAGTGAAGGGTACTCTTCTTATTACAGCATATAAAGACATTTTAGAAAAATATGCTCTTCTAACCTTGTGGTGGGTGGCACAGTGGCTTAGTGGTTAGCACTTCTGCCTTGCAGTAATTGGGTCATGGGTTCGATTCTCAACCATGGCACCTCCTGCATGGAGTTTGCATGTTCTCCCTGTGTTCGTGTGGGTTTCCTCCCACACTCCAAACACATGCTGGTAGGTTAACTGGCTACTGTCTAAATTGTCCTAGTTTCATGCCTGGCCATGCGGGATCTCCTGCATGGTGGGGGTTGGGGAAAGACCTGGCAACCTACCCTGTAAAATAATTGCTAAGAGAATTCATGGAAAAAGTCGCTTACGAGTGACGGTCCATGCAATCGCCAAGGGTCTGATACGACTGAATGGATAGATAGAACCTTGTAGTAACAGTTTGGAGAGGACCCCTTTCTGTTCCAGTATGAAAAAATGACCAGTTTAGTGTGGAGTGGCCTGTGCAAAGCCCTGACCTCAACCCTATTGATCACTTTTGGAGCTAATTAGAACAAGCCAGATCTTCTCAACCAACATCTCCATAAGGACATGGTTTGGTGAGTTTGGGTGAAGGAGCTTGTGTGTCCTGCACAGAGCCCTGACCTCAACCCCACTGAACACCTATAGGATGAATTGGAATGAGCTAGGTCTTCTGATCCAACATCTCCATAAAGACATGGTTTGATGAGTTTGGGTGGAGGAACTTGTGTGCCCTGTACAGAGCCCTGACCCTCAACCCTATTGAACACCTTCGAGATGAATTGGAACAAGCTACATCTTCTCAACCAACTTCTCTATAAAGACATGGTTTGATGAGTTTGGGTGGAGGAGCTTGTGTGTCCTGTACAGAGCCCTGACCTCAACCCTACTATAAAACACCTATGGGATGAATTGGAATGAGCTAGGTCTTCTCAACCAATATCTCTATAAAGACATGGTTTCATTAGTTTAAGTGGAGGAACTTTAGTAACCTGTACAGAGCCTAGACCTCAACCCTACTGAACACCTATGGGACGAATTCAGGTATATTGCTATAGTACTAATGATACTATAGCATACAAAGACATTTTATACAATTGTGCTCTTCCATGTGATAACCGTTTGGAAAAGACCCTTTTCTGTTCCAGTATGACAAAATGACTGGTTTGGTTTGGAGGAACTCGAGTGGCCTGTACAAAGCCCTGACCTCAACCCTACTGATTGCCTTTGGAATTAATTGGAATGAGCCAGGTCTTCTCAAGCAAGATCTCCATAAAGACATGGTTTGATGAGTTTGGTGTGGAGGAACTCAAGTGGTCTTTACAGAGCCCTGACCTAAACCCTTCTAGACAGCTTTGTGATAAACTGGAATGAGCCAGGTCGTCTTAACCAATATCTACATAAAGACATGGTTTGACCACTCTGGTGGGGAGGAAATTGAGAGCCTTGACCTCAACCCTATGAACACCTTTGGGATGAATTGGAATGATCTACATCTTCTCAACCAACATCTCTGGTTTGATGAGTTTGGGTGGAGGAGCTTGTGTATCCTGCACAGATTCCTGACCTAAACTTTACTGAACACCTTTGGGATAAAGAGGAACACAGATTGTGATCCAGGTCTTCTCATTCAACATCAGTACTTGACCTCACAAATGAAGACAAACTCCCAGACACACTCCAAAGTTTTCTAGAAAGTCCTCCCAGGAGAGTGGAGGATGCTAATGCCACTAAGGATAACCAACTAAATAAATATACCCTTGGCTTTGGAATAGGATAACCAACAAGCTCATATAGTAGTGATAGTCTGGTGTCCACAGACGTCGGCCATATGTGCATTTGTGTATGTATGCGGGTCAAGGACCCTTTTCCTTTGCTATCCTTTGCCAGGAGTCCTGTGCAATATGGAAATCATGGACTAGCTATAACAAAAGCTAAGTGACTTTCGTTATAGCTGGTCCATGATTTCCATATCCTTTACTGCATACAGACTAGAGGAGAGATAGGCATAGAGTGCATGTGTGTAGGTATGCGGGTCGCACCCCATATGCCTTGTATTGTTTTCCCGTAAATATTCTGTAAATAGTTTGTGTATGCCGCATTCTTGTTTAGTAAAATCACATTTCTATACTATAAAATATAGCTGTGCCACGCTACTGCATAAATCTGCACAAAAAACAAATACCACTCAATAATTGTGTAAAAAAAATTGTAAACTAACGATATCATACAGTATACACATAAACACGTGTGCTCTATTAAATATCACATGGAGAACATGAAATAAAGTCCAAAAATATTGAATTAAGTATCACGTTCTTCCTTCTTCAACAAAACGTGACCAAAACTCACAAAGTGCAATCAGTGCCCTCACCTTTTACCTATGACCTTCATCACATAGGACATAGAGTGGTGTAGAAGCTGTCCCGGGGGGTACCCAAAATGTGCTGCCACTCCTGTAACCTTCCTGTAGTGCTGGGAGCCAACTGGGTTGCCCTTGTGTGGGTTGGCAAGGTGCCGTTCATCATGATTGATGAGGATCTGCATCTCTGGATGATGACGCTGATGGTCAATTTACATTGTGGGACATTTTTTTTTTTTATTTGAGTGCTTATCAAAAAAGGATATCACCAGGTTTTTTTTAACTTTTCACAGTTTTTTTGTGATTGTGTAAAGGTACCTATTTTAAGGGGGCTTCCAGATTCCCCCCCTGCAGACTCCCCACAAACTACTCGGCCCTGGTGAAGAAGAGGCCCTTGTCCTCATCTACAGGGGGACCAGGTGCTTTGTCAGGGAGGTCCCTCTGGGCTATGTACCCTTTCCATGTTGAGGACATGTGACTTGTTATGGTATGGGGAGGGGATGGGGGGCTTGGTGGCCATCCCATTATGTGATTTACATGGAGGGACATTAAAAAAAAACACAGTTTAATAAAGAAATTCTCAAGAAATGTGTTGTGCTTTATTGCTACTGCTTTTTTGTGAATGAATAGGGGTACACCTTACTTATTCTCTATAAGTACCCCATTACTCTCCTCTTTCCTGGCTTGCTGGGGGAGTTGTTCATTGTGTGGGGTTTCCCTTGCAATGCATTCCAGACCCTCATCAAGGATAGGGCCCTGTTCACACCTGTGAACGAGTAGAGGTACTGTCAGGAATGGACTCGCCACTGGTGGTGGGACTCACCTGCCTTGTGGGCTGCAGTACCAGTGCTGGCCAGCGGGGTGCTCTTAGCAGCCAGAATCTCACTTCTGCAGTCAAGCCATCACCTGAGGCTGAATGCAGGAGGTGTATTTAAGCAGGACCAGGCCTGCAATCAGTGCCTTGGTGTTGTTTCCCATGAGCCCTGTACCTGGTATCCTGTGTTCCTGCATATCTGCCTATCTGATCTGTTGCTGACCCTGCTTTGATCCTGACCTCTGCTGACTTCTCCTGCCCTGATCCCTGGCCTGTCTGACTCCTCTTTGGATACCCTCATTGGATCTGATCTCCTTTTACTGACCCGGCGAGTGACCTGACTATTCTGTGCCTGCTGCCTTGTACCGCGCTGTCCCCACTATTACTGACCCGGCCTGTCTGACCACGCTTTTGCTCAGCCATCCATCCATCCATCCTGCACGGACCCATCCGCCTCTTCACATCAGGCTCTCCTCCAGAATATACCTCTGGCGGATCCCTCTACCACGGGTGGGTGTACTCAGGGGCCGCGACCTGGTCTCTGTCTGCTCCAAGTCCATCCCCACCATCAGGGGCCCTGGTGAACAAGCAGACTCGGACTTAGACTCCGCACTCTGGGGAATCCTATTCCGTGGGTTGCTAGAGGTATCGCCAGGCGGTGTATTACAGACCCATACGGCCTGCCTGACCATTCCACCTCTCCAACCCTGACTACGCCTGTGTTCCCACACATTTCTGGTCATACCGGGATCCCTGACAGGTACCTATTTAAAGGGGGCTTCCAGATTCTCCCCCTGCAGACTCCCCACAACTACTCGGCCAAGGATGTGGGGAAGAGGCCCTTGTCCTCATCTACAGGGGGACCAGGTGCTTTGTCAGGGAGGTCCCTCTGGGCAATGTACCCTTCCCATGTTGAGGACATGTGACTTATTATCGTATGGGGGGCTTGGTGGCCATCCCATTATGTGATTTACATGGAGGGACGTTAAAAAAAAACCCACATTTTAACCACTTGCCGCCCTGCCACTGTAGATATACGGCGGCAGGGCGGCACTGGCAGGCAAAACCACGCTTTAAAACGTGTGTGTTTTGTAAACAGCTAGGGGGCGCGCGTGAGGCACGCCGCCGCCCTATCTGTCCCGCCGATCACCGCCGCAGATGTGAGTTGCCGGGTCACAGCTACTCCTTAGCGGCTATCTCCCGGCGATCGGCGGAAAACAGTGACAGACAGCACAGCTGCAGTAGCTGTGCTGTCTGTCACTTCCCTGTCAGCTCGAGGATGAGCTGATCGAGAAAGAACAGTTTCTCTTTCTCGATCAGCCTTGTCCCGCCAAGCACACCCCCCCGCCCCCTAGTAAAACACTCCCCCTCACTCAGATAACCCTTCCCTGCAAAATAAAGTTAACCCCTTCCTCCCCAGTGCCATTAGTACAGTGTCAGTGTTTTTTTTTTTTGCACTGATCACTGTATTAGTGTTTTTGGGGATGTCAGTGACCCCAAGTCAGTACCCCCCAATGTCAAAATGTCCGCCGCAGTCCCGCCATAAGTCCCTGATCGCCGCCATAATTCGCTGATCGCGCCATTATCAGTATATAAAAACCCCCTAAAAATCCCAGTATCTTTCCCGCCATTTGTAAACGCTATAACTTTCACGTAAACCAACTAATTTACACGTATTGGGTTTTTTTTTTTAGCAAAGACATGTCGCAGAATGCATTTTGGCAGCAATTTATGACTAAATTTGATTTCTGCATTTTTTTTTTACTGGACATTTTTTATAGCAAAAAGTCCAAAATATTGTTTTTTTCCTCAAAATTGTCAGCCTTTTTTTTATAGTGCAAAAAATAAAAAGCGCATAGGCAATCAAATACCACCAAAAGA